TTCAAAAGCAATCAAACTGTATACACACACACACACAACCCCCCCCCCCCCCCCCGCCACACACACACAAAATGCTGGGATTGCTAATACTGAGTGTCAACTCAATTGGATTGAAGGATGCTAAGTATTGTTCCTGGGCGTGTCTGTGAGGGTGTTGCCAAAAAAGATTAACATTTGAATCAGTGGATTGGGAGAGGCAGACCCACTCTCCATGTGGATGGGCACTGTCTAATCAGCTGCCAGTGTGGCTAGAATAAAGCAGGCAGAAGTTGGAAAGAGCAGATTTCTGAGTCTTCTGGCTTTTATTTTTTTCCATGCTGAATGGTTCCTGCCCTCGAACATCAGCTTTTGAACTCTTCAGTATATACCAGTGCTTGCCAGGGGCTCTCAGGCTTTTGGCCACAGACTGCACTATCAGCTTCCATATTTTTGAGGTTTTGGTACTGATGGGATGGCTTCTTTAGCCACTTTCTAAGAATTATGTTCATTAATTACATCATAAGCTACATATTTCCAAGTAACACGGCTGCTTTACCTAGTTGAGAAAATGCTCTTATGCTTTATTAGTTTTCAAATTCTGAGTGTGTTACAATGTCGAAGTTAGAAAACGTGTTAAAAGGCAATTTTTTATTCTCATAAATTATTAAAATTGTAGTGACTACACTTTATCTAAATATTACAATAGCCAATCCAGGGCAAACATTTAAAGGGACATTTTGAAGTTAGAAATAAAACGAAACTCATGTTAAGAAATCTAAGAAGATATCTATAGTTGTAAGATGTATGGTTACTTTCCCTACAAATTAAAAAAGAACAATGATCTCAATTAAGTTAAGATATGCCCTCAATTGTAGGATGCATTAAAATGTGAAAAAGTGCAAGTCTGACTTTTGATGAGGTTTCTCTTTATTTTGCTGCATCTCTTCCAAATCTTGACAGTTTTCCAAATGAACACCACTTAGGGTTGGGAGTGATGGTTACAATTAGCTTCAAACAAGTCAAATACCAGTCAACTCACAGCAGTTTTCCACTTGCACAATAAAGGTTATGTTCTAATATTTATTTTACAATAGGAAATACCATCTTAATCTACAGATTCCTTAAAAGAAAATAGTCTTTCATCTACCCATCAATCAATGTAATACTATAAGAATAGGATTTTTAATACATCACATAGTGACACACTCAGTTGGATATATTCAATTGCTATTGGTGATGAAATTATTATTTAATTACCGTCAATGCTGCGTCAAATATTACTAGTAGGGAATTTTAGAACAATGATAGTTGATGGTAATTTCTTAATCAATTTCATAGTACTGATCAGCTAAGCAAAATTTTCCCAATTAAAGTAAATAACTAAACCTGAAATAGTATATTTGTGGCATTAAGAATTTTGACCGTCAACCACAGTATTAATAGACAGATAATGAAACTTTTTCCAGAAGAGCAAAGCTTGTTTAGGGCAGAACACTTGTTTTGTATTAGTATTCTCTAGGAATAGTTGGAGGACTTTCTCTTTTCCTCCCTGGCAGTCGTGACCTCCAGACCTTCATTCCTCTCTCACTTTCTCCCATTGTTTTCTTCCTGCTTCTATATTTTGCTCCCTCCCTTCATTCTTTCTTTTTCTTTTTTTTTTCTCCCTTGCTCAAATTAGTAATTTGGTAATGTATCCTGATATATTTTCTTTTGGTTTTACTTAAAATAATTATAATTTTAAATGTTGACATTTCCTCAGAATTTAAGGGGAGATTTATTCATTCAACTAAGAAATACCCATTATTGATTAATCTTTACTTCTACGTTCAAAATAGCTTTTGTTGTTGTGAGAGTTGTTGCTAACATGGGGAGGGAGACTTGTCTTCACCTTTCTGGGCAGTCACTATATAGAAAGGGCTTCGTGAGATTTACATACTGCACACACGTCAATGAAAAATCCCTACACTGACTTACTGAGGGATTCAGTATTCCTTAGACTACTTATCTAAGCCTCAACATTGTTGCCTTCATTGAAGCCTAGGTGTATCCAATTACCTACCAAAAAAAAATTTTTTTGGCTAGGTGATTAGGTGAAAGACACGTGTTAATGAACTCAAACCAAACACTGTAGAAGCATAAAAGCAAATTATAAGTTACAAACTTGCCCCTCCAGCTCTGAGATCCTGCCCTTCAATGAAGCTTTAGATGCCCATCAGAAAACCCAACCAGGGTTCCCAGGTCTATTTTCAGCTATGGAATGTCAGGCTATTTGTCTAATGACACTACCTCCTCAAACAAACTTGCTTACCTGTAACTTACTCCCTGGTGTAAGGTCACATTTTTCTTTGTCCTTGCCAGCTAGGCATAATGGGTAAGGTTTTGTCTTGTCATCTCTGGCTTTCCTCCCTCCTAAATGAAAAGAAGATGGCAGAATGTTTGCTTTCTATTGAGAGAACCCAATACCCAGATACCTTGGGCAGCAATGGAAACTTGATGTAAACAAAAAATATGTTGCAAATTTAAATTATAATGAAAATTAAGAGCTGCTGGGTTTCAGGCACATTAGTGTCGATGCTTTAAAGAAATGGGGGAAAACTATTATACAATAAATTTGCAGAATATGTGTCTGGTCTGTTTGTATGTGAACCCAGTGCAGGTCAGCATGGATGTTACAGCTGAAAAGATGAAGCAAACTGTTGATGAAGATGGGCACCACTGGAACTCAAATCCCCAGTGCCAATGTCAGCATCGCTACTGACTCACTAGAGGAGAGTTTAGTGCAAAACACCACTTCTATAACAAGGGAAATTTCTAACAGTATCTCTTTTTCTTTTCTTTTTTTTTTTTTTTTGTAGAAAGTGATTTATTTAAAGAGAGAGAGAGAAACAGGAGAAGGAGAGAAAGAAACAGCTAACTCTCACACTGAGTGAGAGAATCCAGAAAGATGGAATCCAGGAGAGGAAAGCAGCTTCCACCAGAGTGTTAGGGAATAAAGAGAGAGATGGAGTTTAGGAGGAGAAGACAGGCTTCCATGAGAGAGTGTGGAAGGGGACTCCAGAGGGGAAATCCAGGAGAAAGATGGCTTCCACGAAGGGAGTGTTCGTGGAAGGGGATCTAATTGTATCTCTTATCATTAAAATGAGATTGAATTATATTTAATAGTTAACATTTTCATGCATATGTGGATTTCCACAATTTATAAATTCACTGTTATATTGATTGGTTTGGAACTCTCCCTGCTGACCATGGAGAGTAGAGCAAGTAGATATGTCAATGAATTAGTAAATGTAATGAGAAAGATAATATAGCCTCTGAACCCAAGTAGGAGTGATGTAAAAATTGGACGTTTTGTGGATTACACCCTCACTTGATTTCTAGATCTAAGAAGAAACAAGCATTTTATGGCAATTCTAACATAACCAGTTAATAGTTGTGAAGCTTTGTGAAATGTGTATTTATGGGTTTAATTTTTGTTATTTCTTTTTCTTTTTTAATTTTTACTTCTTTTTAGAGACAAAGTCTTATTCTGTCACTCAGGCTGGAGTGCACTAACATGATCATAATTGACTGTCACCTTGAACTCCTGGGTGCATGTGATTCTCCTGCCTCAGCCTCCCAAATATTTTAATCAATATAATGAGAAGGTTGTAATCTTTGTTTTTTAAATAAAATTCTAATAATATATGGGAATATATCTGAAAATAGTTTGTAATATCTAAAGTTTTAATCCTGTATAATATTTATAAAGTAATAATAATAACCTTAATAATAATTGAGAGAGATTACAATTAAAATCTTTTGAGGCTTGACACAATGGCTCATGTCTGTGATACCAGCATTTAGGGAGGCTGAAATGGGTGGGATCACTTGAGCCCAGGACTTTGAGGCCAGCCTGTGTGTGTATACACACACACACACACACACACACACACACACACACAAATTAACTGGGCATGGTGGCAAATTCCTGTAGTCCCAGGAAAAGCTGAGATGGGAGGATCCTTTTAGCCCCAGGAGGCAGAGGCTGCAGTGAGCTAAGACTGTGTCATTGCACTCCAGCCTGGATGACAGAGTGAGATCCCATCTCAAAAACAAAAATTTGGATACACGACTATGTTGAAGACATTATCAATAATACGGACTCAGGACATGAATTGATGTCACTTTAATTAAAAGTAAAAAATTTATTCAAGAACTATTAAAAAATACTTGTCTAAATATTTGGTTTTTAGGAATGAACATAAGACTAGAAATTGACAAAACCTAGTATTGTATTTGATAAGGAGTGGAGTATGCTGCCCCTTAATGTATAGCCTCAGTGGTAGGATGCAATGAAGGCTTGTGCTGGTCCAGGACCTCCCTTCTGCCCTGGTAGGGGGTCTCCTTGGGGCAGAAGAGGCTGTTGATGCGGGAGATTTGGGGGTGGGTCCAATAGAGGTTCCCCCTACCAGGACACAAAACAATTTCAGAGCCAACGGATTGAGGATGTCAGTTGAGATAAGATATTTCATTACACTATGTCTTAGATATCCAAGATTTCCTTCTAAAAATGTCTGAGATGTGATCAACCCACATACTAAGGTGCATGGTAAAAACCTAACTCCAACATTATTTTCCAAGTATTTCATTGTTTTCTGGTGCATATCCAGTGAAACAATTGTAAGATGTAAAGGAGGGCAAAGTTACACAGGCTTGTATCATCACCATAGCTCTCCCCAGTTACTAGCTATTTTTTCCTAAGATGTAAGCAAGAGAATTAAAAGGAAGACGGAACAAGATCATAGAGGAGTAACAGATGGTATAACTGTAAGTGAAATGCCACTCCAGATACAATAGCAATGTGCAGCTGGAAGGCAAAGGACTTGAGCCATGGGATTCCATTCTCTACATAAGATTTCTGAATGATTACAGACTTGGGGTGCCTCATGCATTATCATGGGCTGACGTTGTAAGTTGGTAAAATGATTTGCTTTCTCACATTTTTATTACTGCTTCTTTGTGCTTTCCTGGAATCTTGCCAGAGAGAGAGAGAGAGAGAGAGAAGAACAGGAAGAACGAAGAAAGAAGACAAAAGAAAGAGAGAAGTAGAAAGAATTCAAGAACGATTTTGTGCATGTGTGGAAGTATTGGTTTTTCCTGACACAAAGGAGAGTGCTTTGTCATTGTTTTCTTTATAACATTGATGGATTTCTTGTTGAGTGGGTATTGGGCTTTAGTTAAACATGACAGAAGCAGAGATTTATAGATAGCTGTCTCAGAGGCTGTTTGAAAGGCCACATAATGTCTCAGGGCACAAATGTGTTTTCAGTGTTCACTTCTGGTAAACAACCAACAATTTCATACACTCCACCCCTTGGCCCTGATTAGAGCACTTTCCTTGAAAAATGAAGTAGACCCTTGATGAAATCCGAAGCTAGGGCAGAAGAGAAGGTAGGAAGTGGGTTTGGTTTTTGTTGTTTTGTTTTCTGTTTTTTGTTTGTTTTCTTATTTCAACTTAAACATTCACAGGAAGAACTGTGATATACATGTTGTCCTATGTTTTGTATTCTATAGAAAGACAATATTCTGGATGATGAATTGTGTTCTAAAGACCATTAATTTCCTCCTTATAACTGATAGCTCTAGAGAAATTCTACCTATCTGTGCATATATATGTGTGTGTGTGTATATATACATATATATGTGTGTGTGTGTATATATATACATATATATGTGTGTGTGTGTATATATACATATATATGTGTGTGTGTGTGTGTATACATATATACACACACACACACATACACATATTATATATATATGAAATATGTGTATAATGTTTCTTGGTGAGAGCAAAAATGTAAAAATTAGGAGTTAGACACAAACATATCACTGGATGCTTCTCTCTTCCTCTCTGTCTCTTATTCTCTCAGTCTCATGCATGGATTGTACAATCAGTTATAGTATTCTTTTTAACTCAAAACACATCAAAAGCTTTTATCATGTTATTATAAATCATGTAGTTCCTGTGCCAAAATGTTCTTAGTCCTCTGATTTCAGATTCCCTGTGTTTTCAGTGCTTCACAACTTTTTATAGTACAGAAATCAGGATTTTTTTCCATAAAACCTTTTTTCTGCATTTAGTATTATTTCCTTAGTCAAGATCCTATTAAGTGAACTAAGTTGGTATGAACATTTTCAGGACTTATTATTCATATTGACAAGTGGCTTTTCAAAAATCTTTTATCAATTTATATTCCTACAAGAGTCACTTTTCCATACCCTCACCAGCAGAGGAAACTTTCAGCTTTTAAAAATATTTTGCTAATTATTTTTAAATGTTTAAAATTAACTAGTAAGGCTGAACAAACCCATTTTATTAACTATTTAAAAAATAGTTTGCCTCCTAAATCTTAATAAAATCTTAGTGTTTCTTTTTTATGACAAATTTTATATATCAAAGGTACTGTCACAGTATCCTCAAATATTTATTTGCCAGATTGCATTTGCCTTTAGGTTTGTATTATTTTTCAAAGGCTTTGTTCATTTGCATCTTTATTAAGATCAAGCAGAAGGAGAAATCTTAGTAGTATATTTTGAAAATGTAGTGAGAGTCCTTATCAAGAAACAGGAAGTGAAAAGAGTTCAACAATAGCCAAATAAATGGTAGGGGCAGACAAGTGTCCTCTTTGTTTAGATAAAGAGGCAAACCCCAGCAAAAGAGCACTTTCGGCCCGGTGTGGGGTGGCTCAAGCCTGTAATCCCAGCACTTTGGGAGGCCGAGGTGGGTGGATTATAAGGTCAAGAGATCGAGACCATCCTGGTCAACATGGTGAAACCCCGTCTCTACTAAAAAACTATAAACAATTAGCTGGGCATTGTGGCACGTGCCTGTAGTCCCAGCTACTCAGGTGGCTGAGGCAGGAGAATTGCCTGAACCCAGGAGGCGGAGGTTGTGGTGAGCCAAGATTGCGCCATTGCACTCCAGCCTGGGTAATAAGAGCGAAACTCCGTTTCAAAAAAAAAAAAAAAAAAAAAGAGCACTTTCAAACTCAAAGTATAAGTTTTAGATCCTGCAGTATACCTTTGCAGGTTCTTAAGTTTACCAACCTGTCAAGGGCAAATAGAACTAAAATTTTTATGCTGTCGTGTAATAGTGTACTACTTTCCCTTGGTGTCCTTGGTGGGGAAAGGAAATAAAAGTTGTATTTTTCCCATGTGGTACTGACTAGGAGTGAGGGAAAAGGGGGAAAGGGAGACTCTCCAGAGGGGAACAACGACCTTGCTGCCTCCCAAAGTGAGTTTCTTCTCTTCACCTGAGCTTGTCAGGAGGCATCTCATCACCAGCTCAGCTGGCAGGGAAAGGCAGGGACGTGGTGAACCATGCTAAGTAGGAATGCCTTTCCACACTGTGGTCATTCAGATTACAGCACATTTACCATGTCTGGAAACCCGATGGTAGCAGAAACAGTAACTAGTGTTCAAAAGAACAGTCTCCCGAAAACATCAGGGCTGTGTCAGAATTAACTATTTTTCTATTCATTTCTGTAAAAGCATATGTCCAGTTTAGATAGTTAAAATAGAAACAGCTAACAAGTTACTTAGATAAGATAGTTTTATAAAGGTGTCCAGAATTAAAGGGAAGAACTGGAACCATTTGGGCCCCATAGAATTACCTGATGGTTCATTTAACAGCCATGAGTCAAAAACGACTATTATGTACCGTCTATACCATCTACACTGTGCTTGGCTCTAAGGATATAAGGACAAAGAAACGTCTGGTTTTGACTTTTCATTGTTCATTAGCAGCCAGGACAGTCATAGGATGATAAAAATGGTTTTAAAAATTAATCTGTTTTGAACGCTCTCTCTTCTTAACACCCAGATTCTTATTTTTGTATTAGATGTAAAGATTTAGTAGAAAAATAATTTGAAGTTCACAGAAACCATCTGGAAGCATCTCATAAAAGTGAATGATATTGTTTGGCTCTGTGTCCCCACCCAGATACCATCTTGAATTGCAGCTCTCATAATTCCCAGATGTTGTGGGAGGGACTGGGTGGGAGATAATTGAACCATTGAGGCAGGTTCCCCCATACTGTTCTCATGGTAGTGAATAAGTCTCACAGGATCTGACAGTGATATAAGGGGTTTCCACTTTCCCTTCTCTCTCATTCTTTCTTGGTGCTTCCACTTAAGAAGTGCCTTTTGCCTTCCCCCATGATTATGAGGCCTCCCAGCCATGTAGAACTGTGAGTCCATTAAACCTCTTTATCTTCCCAGTTGGGTATATCTTTATCAGTAGCATGAAAACAGACTATAGCCGGGCGCGGTGGCTCATGCCTGTAATCCCAGCACATTGAGGGGCCGAGGCGGGTGGATCACGAGGGCAAGAGATCAAGACCATCCTGGTCAACATGGTGAAACCCCGTCTCTACTGAAAATACAAAAAATTAGCTGGGTACGGTGGCCCGTGCCTATGATCCCAGCTACTCAGGAGGCTGAGGGAGGATAATTGCCTGAACCCAGGAGGCGGAGGTTGCGGTGAGCCGAGATCGCACCATTGCACTCCAGCCTGGGTAACAAGAGCGAAACTCTGTCCCCCCCCAAAAAAATGAAAAGAAAAAAAAAACAAACTTTCTTACAGTGCATTTTCAGCATGCCTACTTTAAAAGAAATGGTTAATATGTACCAAATTTTCATTAGCATGACCAATGCCCACCAATGTCACTCTAAGTCTAAACCACTGAAGTATGCATGGATGGCCAAAATGTTCTGACCTAGCCTGAAAAGCTAGGACACCACATAGCAGGTACTGTAGATTCATCATGTTCAACACACTCTGGACTTCTAGCCTGATTGACACTGGCTTTCTGAGTGCTTCTTGACAGCAATATGTTGTCGATAGGATTTACATCAAATGTTATTTATTTTCTATTAAGTAACAATAGTATAAATAGACTAAACTCTTGGTTGAGAATTTGAAAAAGAAAAGGAAATTTTAGATTAGCCATAGGAGGAAGAAAGAAGAAAGTCTTTGAGGATTGATTATTTGGATACCTAGTTTAGCACAATGGTCATTTTATTACGAATCTATTAACTCCTAAATACTAACACAGTTTAGCTCAATGATTAAGGTGAAGGTCTTTAGAACATGGCAGGAATTTGTCTGAATTCCGGCACTCACTGGGAACTTGTTCTGCAGTCTTCAGTAAGCTGGTTGGCCTCCCAAAACCTTCACTTCTCCTAAGGAAAATAGGAATAGTAATGCCTATTTCATAGGGTTATATTGAGGATTAATGAATACATTATTTTAAAAACATTTTTTTTAAATGCCAGATTCAACAACCCTTTGCTTATTTTCTATAATTACTTTAAAGATATTAAGTAGTGGTTGACCTTAGCTTTAAGCAGGCCTGGGCCATTTGTGAATTTCTGGTTGTCTCTCAGCTGTAACAAACTCTATCTGCTTTTGAAGATCCAGGGTCTTCCACAGCCAAGAGATAGAATAAATATCTCTTGGGGAAGAGGTGGTCATTTCTTGGCCTCAAACTCCTTGACTTGAACACCGATCTCTCCCTCTGGTATAAGGACCCAGGACCTCTTCTCATCTTGCTCACCTCCTGGATCCAGATCTCTGATTTATTTTGGATCTCACGTCCACTGGAACTCTAATCTCAGCCAGCTGGCCCCATTCCCAGTTGCAGCCTGGCAAACTCTGCCCTTCTGCTCCCCGGGTATTACCTGCACCTTCTTCATGAGTCTGATGTTCCATGAGAAGTTACTTAGATAAGCTAGGTGGATAGACCACCAGGTTTTTGTTTCCAAGGTTTAAGAAAGAATATACATGATTGCTCAACAGATAATAAGTTGCATTGGAACTAATGATTTTAACAGTAGGCTTTTAAAGTAAAGACATTGTGGCTAAATAAACTCTAGACCATGAGACAAAAGACCTATATCTGCATTCGCTGTAAATTTAACACAGAGCAGTGAAAGTTAACAGATCTCCATCACATCTAATGTCTCCTGTCACCAAAACAGGAGTTTTATCCAGTAAGGTCCCTGGCACATAGTAAATACATGCTAAGTATTTGTTGAATTTATACATAAATGACAGCAAGAGATGAAAAGATGGTACAATTCAGTATTACTGTTATTCCAAGTTCTTCTCTGGGTCATCATCTTTATCTTTTCATTAGGGAGTGGTTTTTTTTTTTTTTTTTTTTTTGAGACGGAGTTTCGCTCTTGTTACCCAGGCTGGAGTGCAATGGCGCAATCTCGGCTCACCGCAACCTCCGCCCCCTGGGTTCAGGCAATTCTCCTGCCTCAGCCTCCCGAGTAGCTGGGATTACAGGCACGCGCCACCATGCCCAGCTAATTTTTTGTAATTTTTAGTAGAGACGGGGTTTCACCATGTTGACCAGGATGGTCTCGATCTGTTGACCTTGTGATCCACCCGCCTCGGCCTCCCAAAGTGCTGGGATTACAGGCTTGAGCCACCGCGCCCGGCCAGGGAGTGGTTTTATGGCTTCTCCTGTTAAACTTTAATACTGTACAACCCCTCTTGCTCGTAGAAAGCCCTAACAGAGAAAATGTAAAGTTTCTAAAGGAAAGTGTGCCAATTAATTTTATTTTTTCCTCTTGCTATCTTTACAACTGTATTTTCCTTTGGTATTGAAGATAAAAGATTTTATTTTGAATTTCAAAAGTTTTATACATATATTGATATATGCCTATATATGTGTAGGTATTTATGGTTTTAAGTAAATAGAATGCTTTCATTTTTCCTTTTGAGTTGTCTAAGAGGACAACTCTATGTGTTTTTACTCAAAGTCATGTAACTTGGGGGACAGTAGGAGAGAGGGACCCAGCAACTCAAGCTTCTGATCATGTGACAGTAAGCAGAACATGCTCTCTAGGGCCACGCTGAGCATGTTAAGGTAAGTTTGCTTCTTTGTGAATAAAGGGTCAGATAAAATAGGGTTCATGCCTGAGGAGCACAACGGTTGGCCAGGCTGACAGTTGAGAAGAGCTGGGTCTTTGCAGATCATTTGAGAGCATCTCAGGAGTTATTCAGGGCAACAGAGCCCGGCTCATGAGTACAGCCCCTCATCTGGTTGGCCGGTCAGTTTTCATACACTCTAGATGCTTTTCAGCTCACCGAATTGTGTCCTGTCAACCCAAAGCCACTTTTTGATCTTAACTTTTTACCATCAAAATATGATGACTTGTCTAATGTCTAGATGGTAGCACAATGAATGGTAGTATAAGAAAAGAGTCCTTTTCCTTCCTGACGTGTATCCTACAGGTGGACTTTTACATTATGGTATCCTTCATCTTTTGCTGTGTAACAAGCCTTCACAAAACTTAGTGGCTTGAAAAAGCATTTTTCTCACAAATATACAACTTGAGCAAGGCTTGGGATGAAAGCGGTGGCTAATCTGCTCCCTCTGGCATCTGTTGGGGTATCCCGCTAGGGCTTGGAGGGTTTGCTTTCAAGGCGAATCACTCACAGAACTGGCATGTGGATGCTGGGGTTCAGATGGGGGCTCAACCGGTGCTGTGATTTTTTTCCAAGTGGGCTTCTCCATGGGGGGCATGGGATTCCTCACAACATGGCAGCTGTGTTCTAAAAGAGTAAGTCCTGAAAAAGCAAGTCGGAGTGCTTGGCCTTTATGATCCAAACTCAGAAGTCACATTGTCTCTCTCAACTAGTGAAGGCAGTAAGAAGTTTAAGAGAAGGGGACATTGGCCAGTACAGTGGCTCAGGCCTGTAATCCCAGCAGTGTGGGAGGCCAAGATGGAGGAACCCTCGAGCCCAAGAGTTCAAGACTAGGCAACATAGCAAGACCCTGTCCTTAACAACAACAACAACAATTAGCCAGACATGGTAGTGTGCATCTGTGGTCCCAGCTATCTGAGAGACTGAGATGGAAAAATCACTTAAGCTTGAGAAATAAAGGCTTCAGTGAGCCATGATGGCGTCATGGTACCCTACCCGATACTGGGAGACAGGGCAAAACCCTGTCTCAAACCAACAACCACAAAAACAGTAAGAAAAGAGGTCACAGATTCTAATTCTCAACTGCAGAGTGACAGGTTTCTAGAGGTACTTGCGGGATAGGAGATACTGCTGTGAGCATCTAGAGAAAATACTATTGTCGCAATAACTATTGTGATGTACATTTAGAAGAGCTCATGAAAAAACATTCCTGGCTTCTGTACTACTGGAATCAGCAGCTGAAGCTGGCCGCCTCATACTAAAACAGGGAGACATTGGTTAGGGTGGTTCAGAACCTTCCCTCTCAGGTATTCTTGGTCTCAAAAAAAAAAAAAGAAAGAAAGAAAGAAAAGAAAAGAAAATGATAGGAAGAATGTTTTCTGCAAGTGTTAGATAGTAGTGGCTTTGAAAACATAAACGCTAGCCTTCAGCCGGCCCCCAGGGTATGTTTACAAGACTGGGCAAGTCTACCTAAGGCCACATGAAAAGTTATGCTTAAGCAATTTCTCCAGTTTAAAATAAAGAGAGAGTTTTGAACGTTTGTGACATATGGCCGTTCAGTGTTCTCTTGAGAAGATTTTTAATTTTCTCTTGTCAAACAATTACATTTGAGTAGTTCAGCTCAGAATGAAATATGCAGAATTTAAAGAGGGTTTTGCATCATTCATACTGTCTCGGTGTTATTAATGTCAGGAAATGAGGCCTGCATTAGTCTGTATCAGTCAGAGCTCTTAATTGCTAGCAAAAGATACCATCAGTGGCTGCTTTAAACATTGGAGGGATTCCTTGACAGAATGTTGAGTAATTCACAGAATTTCTGAGAAGGCTGTCGAATCCAGCTTAGGAAACAGTAAAAGAGAGGCTGGACAAGAGTGAGGAGCACAGCTTCTGTCACCCTTGAAACTAGGGTGGTAAGGACGCTGATGCCATCTCCACTGAGTGGAGGAGGCCATTGCAACCACACACTGCAGTCGGTTACCAGCCTCATTACAAATGTTGGTCCTAGAAAACTGGATTTTGCCATCACCATAATCACCACCACCACAGTAGATTCTCCCCAGTCCCTGGATTACTAGCTCTGGGTCCAGAGTTTTGGGCCGATCCATTTCATTTGTGAAGTCTAGGCTCTGGGAGAAAAGCTGATAAAGCAAGCATCTAGCCTTTTCAGGTTCTTTTAGAGTGAGGCATGCTCTCTTTTATGCAGATCTTGCAATGGGGATTTCCTAAATAAAGAAAGGTAAACAGAAAAGGCAGATTATAAAGTTATCACGCTAATAGTTTTTCAGGTAACTTTTTCTTGCTGTTTACTAAGGTAAATTATAGCCGTTTATTGAGGGGTGCTACAGGAAAATTTCTCAGGCAGGCATGTCTATAATACTCCCACTTTTCTTAGTGTTAATATAATATATTCTCAGAGCTCTGCAGCATAAATTGAAACTGAAGTGCCAGGAAGCATGAAAAATAGCAGACTGACAATATACTGTGTCAGTGCTTACAATTATGGGCTTTTAATATCTGGATCATTCAACTACTGCATCGATGATGTATCAAGCCTGGGAGTGGTGTGGCTCTGTGGGCTGGAAGGCTTTACTGCTTCCCCAGATCTCAGTCCACGACATTGATGGGAATAGTTCCGGGAAGACAGCCCACAGGCAATTGGGCCCCACCAATCTTATAGGACAGAGTCCTGATAACTATTAGGCAGGATGTCTGTGGCACCCTGTTGAGTTATTCCCAGTAATATATTATAGAAACATTATAAAAACCAATTTTTAGGAAATTCTGCATTTCCTTTAAAAGCAGATCCATCTCAAATGACTATTCTTGTTTAGAGAGGTGACCAGATGTATAAAACTAGACGTTTCCAATTTAGTATGTGTTTTAGAAGCCAGAGGATATTTTCAAGTTTCTTACTTCACTTTTCTCATCTTAAAACTGATCTTACAATTACAACCCAGAGGTTCCCTGCAAATTTAAAATATTCATTCAATTAATAATCTTGAATCTAATAAATTGACAAAAGGCATAAAAAGGATTTTTAAAAATGTAAAGAAAATACTGATTCAAGTAACTCGACCTCAAATTAAAACATGCAAAAGTGCAGGGCTGGTTCTGCTGACTGGGTGTAATGTATGTATTCTCGGTGTTTCATGAGTACCATAGAAAACTTGAAACAGAGTTCAGCTTCCTATCCAATTTGCATTCAGTTATGATATGGTCCCCTTTTCCAGACCCCATCTGGATATTCTTTAGTGTTCAACCATCAGTGCTTCACCGTTGAAGAGATATTGCATCTTTTAAATATCACAATAGACAAGAAGATATAAATGAGAGTTAATAATCGTCAAATGTGCCTATTTCCTTTTCCTATAAATTAGAGCATGCTTTCCTACTGAATTTTGCAAGAAGGAAAACAGACTCCCTCCTGCTGATGTGAGGCGGCAGTGCTAAATCTCCCTCAAGATTCGCTTTGGCTTCTTACAACTGTACGTTAGTACCTTTTTATATGCAATTTTACTTCATTTAGTCTTTAAGGTTGTGCCTGAGGTTAGTTTAAAAGGTTAGTTAAATGTTAATGGATGTTAATGCTACAATTAAATTGTTAAATCAATTGAAAACTGTGGCTCCATCTCTATCTACGTTAGTGCCGGCCTGAGCTGCATTGGCGTATAAATTAAAAGCTGTAAATCTAGTGAAGTCTAATTAGAGACCAAATTTCTCATTTATCTTATTTTCACAGGACTGTAAGCACTGATAGATAATCAACGAAGGGCTAAAACTTTTTAACATTAAAAAACTATTTTATCTATTTCAGGATTCAGGTGACTGATTATAATTCCGATCCAATTACTGTAAAAGGTCATATGTGAAATGAAGTTCTTTCAGACACTCTAAGTTTTATTTTATAAGTTTGCATACAGCCCACTACCACCCTCATCCCCAAAAGCAAATATAAATACATTATTCAAGACTGACTTTAATGGTGTCTTAGAGTAACCTTGGTGCTAAACTGTGTGTTTAATAGACTACTGCATTAACTGGAAGGAGTAAAGATGGATTTCGATGCTTTGTGGGAGATTCTTCAGGAAGCAAAATTAAGCCTTCATGGGTGTCTAAGGTGACAATTGTTCATTGTTGTTTCAAATTGGCTGTTGCCATCTTGCTTTACCCAATGTCTAAGAAAACATGCATATAAAGCCTTCAAATGAAAGGATTTGTCAAGCCTAATCTTCCTCAGTTCACTGCTGTAGAACTACTCTGCTGAAATTACTCTCGAGTGGCTCAAGCTTGGTTTCACTATATTTAATCAAACTACTTTAAAAAACATTCCTTTTTCCTGTTCTTCAAGTTATGACACAAAGATATGATCCAACCACAGCTTTTGATGTACAAATGCTTACATGAATTAATGCTCACATAATGCTCACATGAATTTGCACCTTATCAGCAAAATTAAAAATTTTCTTGCTAAACATAGGGAGACTCATAGGTTCCAATTTGCAAAGCTGTTACTATTGTGTTATGACACAATAATATATATAATAATAATATATATTGTGTTATAACACTTTGGTGTCATTATTACTTTAAAGATCTTATGAAAGTGATGTGTTCTGTGAATGCTAATTTTGTAAATAAAATACTATAATCGGAGAACAAGTTATGAATGGAATTCAACAAGAAGGCCTCATGCCTGTAATAAAGACGTAACCCCCTTTTTTCTTGGTATTGTGAGTCAAGTTTCAGCATTGATTAAACCACAGAAGAACACCACAAAGTGAATTGCTGAGCAGATTGAATGTTCTGAACTTTTTGCTTTCTTAATTTTGTCATGAATTCAGATCTCCTAAAACTCTTGATCACAGACTCTGCAGGGAAAGTGCCATGTTAGGTTGCTTGTCCCCTGAAGCAAATGAAAAAGATGTTCTATTTTTTTTTTTCACCCTTAAAGGAGCACTGATTTCCTGACAGCGTGTTTGTTTCTTTTTTTGCAAGCATTCCAAGCTCAAGAACTAACTCACTGTACCCAGCTTAACAAAAATCAGTCTGTATTCATGAATTGCTGGGCCTTTCAAGTGGAATGGGCTGCTAGATCTTAACCGGGGACATTGCACTTGCATTGAAATGGTGCAGATGGTTTTCCACTTAAGTCTCTGGCAGGGAACATGGAACCTGTCCCTTGCTTTCAGTTTCTTTAGCCGAGCAGCAAAAGCAATAGCGAAAGACACTATTTTGGCTTTATTTTGGGCTATCACTCTCCTTGCAGAAAGACCCTGGGGAATTCTTTGAGTAGAAAAACCAGGATGAGATCACAGAGCTCCCTGGTCACCGATCTTCTGGGAACAAGAGTTTTTATATTCGATTGTTGACAAGCATGATCCACAGTGACTAGACAGACACCTAAGGCTTTCTGCTTTAATGATCTCTGAGAGGGCTCTGAGGCTGAAACTTAAATTCTGCTGTTAAAAATAGGTTCTTTTGAATTACAAATTTCCTTCCCTACACAAATACAAACATCTTTTAAATTCAACAAGCTACTCTCACTCATAGTGTGTCAACATAGAGCTGCCTCAGATCTTGTTCAAGGGCTGGTGGAGGGCATGGGTGAGTGTGATTTTCTTGGAGGGTGGAGAGGTGGGGCCTGAGCAAGGATCACTCCCCCATTGGAGGAGGCAGAACAGGGCTGTGCTTCAAAGCCTCAGCTCAGAAGGCAACAAGCAATGAAACTCAAACCTGTCTCTTCCACTCGTTCTCTGGTGTCGGCAAGTCTCTCAACCTTTCTTAACTGGCATTTTCTCCGCTTTTTCTTATCCATCCATATTCTCATGACTTTATATCTTATTTGATTGCAGGAAACCAGTAAATATTTTTCTTTCCTTTTTTTTTCTTTTTTCAGATTTGATCTGAAAATCTGATGATGTTCCCCAAACTCCTATATTCAAAAGTTGTATCCGTATCTCTACTTAGACACATTCATTCATTTATTTTTTTCATTGACTGTTGAATACCCACAATATGCTACCCACTGTACCAGGCATTAGAGGCTTTATAATGAAAAACACAAAATACTTTTCCTTGTAGCACTTAACGTTCTAGTGGGGGATATAAACAAGCAAACAGAAATCTAATGCAATTTCAAAAAGGGATATATTCTAAGAAAAAATGGAAGTGAAACTAGAAAAAGTGATTGAGCATGGTATTTGGGTTAATGTATCAGTAAGCAGAGATCTGAAGTAAGCAGGGGGCAGCCCAGTATCTAATGGATATCAGAAATGGAACACGTTGAGCAGGGCACTGGTGATGCTTGTTTCCCCAGTTTTCTCCTCCCGCCACATATAAACCTCCTCCTCTCCTGATTTTCTCATCTCAGTCAATGACAATACTCTACGTGTCAGGCCTAGAAGTCTAGGAATTTTTTTTATTTTTTTTTTTTATTCTTTTTTTTTTTTTTTTTTTTCTAGAGTAGGTCTTCATGTCCAGTTCCTGTCACGGAGCTCCTAGGACTGACATGGCAAGGGCAAAGCGTTCTTGTTGTGAATGTGTTTATGAACCAAATATTTATCAGGTGCTTACCATATGTCACATACTCTACTGGCACATTCAATGGTGACTGAAATAAACAAGGTCTTCTTCTCATGCAGTTGACAGGCTCTCAAAAGAAGACAGAGAAATTAACAAAGAGCACTGGTGTAGCAGGGGAAGTAAAATATGAAGTGACTTCCCACAGGGAACACCTAATGACTTCTGGAGAAGAGGATCAAGAGGATCTTGTAAGGGAATTCTATTTGATCATCCTACTTGAAGAATAATGAATGGAAGATCAGGTCTATAAATCCAGGTAAACTAGACTGGGTGATGACAGAAAAATGTGATGGCTAGAAGCAAGAGGAGAGGAAGAAAAAAATAAGTGGAGATGGAGAGGAGGAAGAGACTGGGGGTGAAGTTAATTTGGGGGTGAAATGAAGACTTTAGTTGAGAATGTAAAACAGGAACCTGAAGAAGGGCATGTCTTTGGTAGACATTTGTAGAAAGGGAATGGTCCCATGTAGCAAGCTCCCATGTGGTCATATGCGAAAACCTGTGTCCAACTTTATGCACCTGATGATCCAACTAACCAGCCTTCTTTTGCAAAACTTTCTGCCAGTTGCTGCCGTATCACTGTACCCTCTTCATTCTTTTTCTGTTTCTTTTTTTTTTTAAACTATCATTTGTCACTTGTTCCACCTTCTCCTACCCTTGCAAAAAACCTTACAAACACAACTTCAGCCAGGTCAATGTTAACATTGATATGTTCAGTTATATGATGTGATGAGAATGGGAATGTACCTCTGTGGTCTTCCTTCCAAAAACACATTATCCTAGTCTAACCATGAGAAAAACTTTAGACAAACCCCAAATGACTGATTTTCTACAAAATTCCTAACCAGTCCTCCCCAATGAGTCAATGTGATTAAAAAACAAAAAACAATGAAGAATCTCTAACAGCCAAGATGAACCTAAAAGGACATGACAACTGATGGTAATGGGTATTCTGGAACAGAAAAAGGACATTAAGTAAAACCTAAGGAAATCTGAATAAACTATGGACTTCAGTGAATCATGACATGTCAATATTGGCTCATTAATTTAAAATAATGCACCATAGTTATGCAAGGCGTTAATAATAGAACTGGGTGCAGGGTATATAGAAACCTTTCCTAGTATCTTCACATTTTTCTGCAAATCTAAAACAGTCCAGCGAGCACTTAAAATGTGGGTCTGTGCTCAGGCAAGAAGTTGGAATGGGAAACTTAAATTTTAAAATAAACTTAAAAAATTGTTTTAGATTTGCAGAAAATTGTTCAAATACCCATAGGTTTTAAAAGTTATTTTTAAGGACTTCAAAAATGCTCTTCCTGTTACTTCCCCCAATACATCTCATTGCCTAATTAGTGCTACTAAACCGTAAGTCCTTCCATGCGTTATTCTAAATAATGGAAAGTAGATGCCCACTGCATGACATAGTCCGTTAAAACGTCTCAGCTTGGCATTTACGGCCTGTTGTGATATATCCTTCATCTTTCTTTCCTTTTTCCTTTTTTTTTTTTAAAGTTTCCTTATTTATTTATTTTTTTGTGAGACAGAGTCTCACTCTGTCACCTAGGCTGGAGTACAGTGGCATGATCTCGGCTCACTGCAACCTCTACCTCCCAGGTTCAAGGAATTCTCCTGCCTCAGCCTCCCGAGTAGCTGGGACTACAGGCACCCACCACCACACCCAGCTAATTTTTCTATTTTTAGCAGAGATGGAGTTTCACCATGTTGTTCAGGCTGGTTTCTAACTCCTGGCCTCAGGTGATCCGCCCACCTTGGCGTTCCAAAGTGCTGGGATTACAGGCATGAGGCACCACACCCCGCCCATCTTTCTTTTCTTATCTGTTTCCCTATTTCTTTACACAAGCATCTCAGGGTCACTCTTGCCACATCACACCAGGTGTCACTGTCTCATGGACTATCTTATCCCCCCCAGAGACTGTCAAAGTCTGTCTTTGTGCCTCCTGTCCGTCATGTATGTGTCACACATTCTTGCTGCAGGATGAATAAGTAAACTCACCTTTTCTCTGTTTCTGGCAACCCTCCTCGCCAATTTTGTACTCATACTTCTTCTGTTACATTGTCCTCTCCTCCTAATTCTGGCTTTCAAAATCTAACTCATCCTTCACCATCTACCTTGGAGATACAAGCAGAATAAGACTGACCTACGCTTAAACTCTGGTATTGCATTTTAATATTTAATAAAATTAGCAAACCTATTTTTTAAGTTTCTAATTGCTTAGAGTGAAATGGGGATTTGGTCGGAATTAAATGAAACATAATATTCATCGTAAATTCTTAGAACATAACAGGTCTTTAAAATTTACTTAAAAATTCTTATTCATAGGTCTACGATCCCCTCCCCCCATCCTGCTCCATCAGTTGACTCCACGATTTTTTTTTTGTTTGTGTCTCCTGCATATTACTTTTCAAATTTCCCTTTGCCCGTGGTTATTTGTGTCCTTGTACGACACTGAGCAATAACCCAACCTCTCTGTGTCTTCGTTTCCTTCTCTGTACAATGAGGATAATGATAGTGACTCTGTCGAAGGATTCCTTAAAGATTAAATGAGTTTTGTATGGTGCACTTAGCATGGCATGAAATTAGTGCTAGATAAGTGTTTTTAGTTATTATATCATTATTATCATTTCATCTGCCAAGACAGGAGGTATTAGAACCTATTTATCTTTATATTTTCTGCTGTGCCAAGAAAAAGAAATACCATGATTGTAGTAGGTGTTTAACGAAGGCAAGGCAGAATGGAATCTGATGCAGTCTTTGTGGATGGCCATAGTCCTTTTTGTCTGTGAGGAGGAAAATACAGATCAATAGAACCAATGACTGAGGCCATGGACCATTACTCTGCAGAGAACGTGAGGAAGAATAAACACTGAAGGGGGAGTCATGTGGGAAGAAGAGAACACAGATAGAGTTACCAGGAGCAAAAGTGCTGAGAATGAGCTGCATTAAATAATGCAGCTGTTATTGGTGCCTGATGAATAAATGAACAACACTAATGTAACTTCATGCATACTCATAGAAACATTCCCCCGAAGGATAAATTGCTAGAAAACATCATCTGATATACTAATGTGGAACGTTCAACATCAGACAAAGTCTCCCAAATTGGAAGTCTAAGTAAAGTCTTCACATGGAAGTATGACTTGATTTTATTTAATCATTTGGTTATTTTCATTATCCTGGGTGATTAAATAACTCATATTGGAAGTACTGGTGTAAGCAATGCTGGTGTGCTGCAGAAACACTGCATAGTAGCCACATACTTCCAAAAGTAAACGTAAAATTAAATATCTCGTCATCTATTAGTGATCATTTTTCTACTGTATAGTTCAAGCTGTAATGGACAGTCCAGAAATGTTCCAGTGGACCTTAGATTTTATTTCTTCTTACTTGTTTTTATTGTCTTCTATCTGTGACCTTTGAACCAGGATAATAGCCTAAAACATAATTGCAATAGACCTTGTAAATTAGAAATACGACCCACGTGTTTCCATTTTTGGACAAAGGATAAAAGTGTGTTTGAGTGGCTTTTTGTTTTGTTTTTCATCAAGTTAGAGTCTAGAAATCTGTATTTGTCGTCTGTAGTAAGTCATTAGCATGTTCCAAAGTCAGAGGAAGAACCTACATTTTCTCAAACCGTTTAAAAAGAGGCAGGGTTATTATCTGAAAAATCCAAGCCAGATATGGAAGCAGCGTCAGACTGCCCTGAAAGAGGTGATGTGAAGAGCCCCATTACTTTTATGGGCTTGACCTGATCTCTCATAAAACTTTCCTCCGTGATTTCTCAGTACACTACGAATCCTGTAGGCACCCTGAAAGGGAAATGAAACTCTTCCAGCTTGGATTTAAACTTGACCCCAAAGCATATATGTTTACTGGTCTCATAAACCCAATGCAACCATAGCATTCTTGACTCAAAATCAGGGCAGTGACAAAGGGTGATTTGTCACCGGTGGTGACATCATTGTGGTCACCGAGAGCATCATGGCCTGTCTTAGCATGTCCTTTGCAGGGGAGCACACACCATCCACGCCAGGGAATAGGTAGACACATGGCCCCCGTTAGCAGTTTGCCAAGGTCCTATTGAGAGGCAACAGGTAAAATGATTTGGAATTCTTGGAGCTGCTTCCTGAGGTAGTGCCTTGAATCACCAAATAACAGGCAATTAAAAGTCAGGTCATGTTTGTGGGACATGATGTCTCTCATTCAACAGTTCTAACCCAGGACATGAGAGAGTTCTATGGGTTGGGTTTTGGATTTTGAATTTATCTATAGTACCTAAAACCTAACTTCTTTTTTTTTTTTACTTTCCTCCCCCACTAGTTCTGCCAAAAGTAAGTATAGAAGAAAAAGGGGTGGGCAGGTCTTGGAGAACCACAGGAGCTGAAGATAGCTCACCACATTTCAGGGTCTCATCATTAGCTTCTGCCCCCACCATGCCGTTACCAGAATACAGGGTTCCGGAGGAGGACAATGGGTACCAGGCAGGAGACATTTGCCCCAAGAGGCAACGTCACTTCATTTTAAAAGTGAGTCCATCCACCTTCCCAGCAAGGGTGCCTACCACGGGCTCCCTCAGAGAGGATTTTGAAGTAAGGTGGTTAGCAATTTCCCCTTCCTCCTTCATTCCTGGTGCATCCCATCGCCACCCCCACTCCCACTCCATCTCCTCCTGGCAGCCTCGGCCAAGTTTGTTGCTTGCAGCAGAAAGACTCAAACGTTTTCGTGATCCGACGGTTTTCAAACAGTCTCGGCTCCTGTGAGCCTTACCAGCTGTGACTAATAGCCAAGAGAAGGGAGAAAGAAGCTTCTAGGGCCTGCAGGCTTCAGACAGGCAGGCTCTGGGGGAAACAAGAGAAAGCCATTAACTAACCACTGTGTTATCTTGATTCTCTCGGAGAAAGGAGCCAGGGACGCCTAATGAACTAGCCTTAACGTTTCAAACTGAATGTGCCTCTGGGAGCTCTGCTAGAACAAACAGTGTGACAGATCAATGCTTGGTTCCTATATCAAGAGAAAAGGTTATTCGCTCCTCTAAGGAATTAGAGGATTAGTATATCTCTATGAGATACTTTCTCTTTTAAAATGTAACTTTTCTTCGTATGTGAAGGTATGAGTGGTGCAAAGTGGATGGGAGGGTGTGCCTACGTGTGGAAGCGTTTAAACATACTGGTTTTAAAGTTCATTACTACAGGAGATACTCCTGTAAGATCTAATAGCTTTTCTTTTTTTACTCTTTCAATTTTTTTTTGTTGTCGTTGCTCCACACCAGGTAGATATTTCAAATAAAATCATACAGCCTTCAATTCCTGAGCCCCAGACAGGGGTCAAGGAGCAAGTTTGCAAAGCTCACCTTTGCGGTTCAAAAATTCCTCTTGCGGCTACTAGCTGGAGATTTTCAAAAGGTGACTAGGTTTTCTAGCCAAATCCTCCAAACTGTTCATTTTCTGGGAAGCTTAACTGCATCAGCTATCATTTTGAAGAATTTCTTGATATGAAGTGATGTAAAATATAAAATTCTTATCTTGTCAGTCAGTAATGGCTGAGATTGAAGTGTGCTTTATAAGTGTCCCTTGTGTGGGTGACTGATGGGAATACCAATTGTACCCCTGTAGAAAATTTAGGTCTTGGGTTCCTAAATTTTAAAAGAAAGAAGAAAAAACAAAAAAGAAAGAGAAAATAGTTTGAATCAATGTCCCAGTTCAGAAAGCCCCAGTTCAGGTCAGATTCACATATGAACTCTGCTTATATTTTTTAAGTTTATTTTATTTTTAATTGATCAATAATAACTTCCATTTGCCTGTAATCCCAGCACTTTGGGAGGTTGAGGATGGAGGATCACCTGAGGTCAGGAGTTCAAGACCAGCCCGACCAACATAGTGAAACCTCATCTCTACTAAAAATACAAAAATTAGCCAGGCGCAGTGGCATATGCTTGTAATCCCAGTTACTTGAGAGGCTGAGGCAGGAGAATAGCTTAAACTCAGGAGGCGGAGGTTGCAGTGAGCCGAGATTGGGCCATCGCACTCCAGCCTGGGCAAAAGAGTTAGACTCCATCTTAAAAAACAAGAAACAAACCTTTCATTTGAATTAGGTTACAGAGATTGTTTGGGGTACTCATTTTTGTCAAGCAGGGTATCTTCTACGTGTAGTACTTTGGCAATTTACTTTAGTAAACAGATGTGAGAACAGGTTCTTGCCCTTCCCTTTACCTCATTCTCTCTTAAATTCCCAAGTGCACTTTCAGAATTACAACCTAAACTGAGTTCTCTAAAAGTGAAAGACAGTGACCTATGAGTACATACAGCAGCCCCCTTTCCTGTCTCTTATCCATTCACATGCCCACCTATGTTGCCAAGCTCATTTCTAGGGAGTAGTCTAATGTATAGTCAGTATTTCTGTAAGACCTTACCTTGAATCCTTAAAAAGTGCATACTTCGGTCCAGCAAGTACTATTCCCATAATTTTTCTGAGAAAATAATCAAGGATACATGCAGAACTTTACCTATGGGACTATTCATTGCAATAGTAATAATGTTAGAATATGCACTTCCAAACTAATTACTGTATCCCTGCCCATATTAGGGAATCATTGTCCTAAAAAGTTTATTTTTCTTTTATTTAATACTATGTGCCTGCAGAAAAAAAAAAACAAAAACAAACAAACAAAAAAACAAAACAAAAAAAACTGGTTTTTCATATAAAATTAAGAAGTAGGAAATTTAGGTAAATCTCTTTTGAATTATTATAGTGTATTAGACTGCTCAGTCTGCCATAACAAAATACTACAGATTTGGTGGTTTAATAACAAATTTATTTCTCACAGATCTGGAGGATGGAAGGCCCACGATAAGGTGCTGACAAGGTAGGTTTCATTCTGAGGCCTCTTCTGATGACTTGTGATTGGCCACCATCTTTCTGTATGCTAGGATAACCTTTTTATGCATGCTGGGCTGGGGGAGAGGGAGAAAGAAAGGGAGTGTCCTCTCTGGAGCTCTTGTGTATCTTTTAATAAGGGCACTAATTCTGTTGGATCAGCGTCCCACTCCTATAACCTAAATTAACCTGACTTCCTTAGCTGCCCAATCTCCAAATATAGACACAGTAGGGGTTAGGGTTTCAACATATAAGTTTTATGGGGGACACAAACATTCAGTTCATAATATAGAGTTTTCTAGTTAGTGGAAGTTTGTATTAATGAAATATTTACATAAAAATTTCAAAGACATTTCACTGAGTATCACATAAGATTGCATAGTTAGGTCATAGAAACTTTACACCAATAACCTGAAGAAAGTTCTGTTGCTTCCACACACCATTAATATGCCAGGGCTTTACCCTTAAATGGCTGAGCCACAGAACCAAGGTTCACTGCATTTCTACCTCTTGATTTCTCCGTCTTTAAAGAGACAGGATTAAACCAGATGTGTTCTTACATTTCTTTAATCTCTAATTTTCGTGCATCTGTTACTATTTTTTGTGGTTCAATATTCTCATACCCATGATACAACTGTCAGAAATGATAATGTGACAAATAACGTATTTTACAAAATTTATAGCTATAAAAATTGCATGCACAAATAATTTACGCATGTGTTCTTATTTTCTCACCAAGTTCATTTACACAAATCATTCTGGATTGTTGTTAGCTTTCAATAGAATAAAATATATACAATTTTCTGTAGTTTGACCCTTGAGGTTAGAGGCCCAAAGAATGAAAAATAATTTGAAGGCGAAATTGAATCCACATTTGGAATTTCAGCAAGAACAGGAACAAGGAGGAAGATTCCAGGGATATAATGCAACTCATATTTATGGATGTAATATTATAAAGCATATTTCAAAATGTGAGTATTATCAATATTCTTCATGTAATATTTATTACCTAGTAATTTCCTCCATATACACCATAAAATACTGATGGTTTTGTCTGATGAGATGTAAGTGCCAATTATATAAAAAAGTTGATAAGGACATAAAACTAAAAAAAAAAAAATAGAGGTATAAATAGCAGATTTTACTTCAACAGGTTTTGAAAAATATCAAAAGTTAAAGGTTATCAACTCCGGTTTGACTTTTGGGTTCTTCTTTCGTCAACTAGATTTATAAGTGAACAAAGCACTGCCGAGTACGTTGAAGGAGTTGAAACAAGGCCTCAGAAGGGGAGGTGACGCCGTACTGGGTGAAATCATCCCTGGAGCATAATCTAGAAAATGTTCCAAGAATCTCAGAGACTGAAGTTTCCATTCAATCGTTTAGTGTTTTAATACATAATGACCATGAAAGACTCTCATTAAACAATTGCCATTAATATTCTCCACTGGGCATACATGGCTCAACTCTACAAAGCTTTCTGGGTGTGTCTTTTCATGTACTATTTTTAAATTTTTTTTTTTTTTTTTAGACAGAGTTTCACTCTTGTTACCCAGGCTGGAGGGCAATGGCGCAATCTCTGCTCACCGCAACCTCCGCCTCCTGGGTTCAGGTAATTCTCCTGCCTCAGCCTCCTGAGTAGCTGGGATTACAGGCACGCGCCACCATGCCCAGCTAATTTTTTGTATCTTTAGTAGAGACGGAGTTTCACCATGTTGACCAGGATTGTCTCGATATCTTGACCTCGTGATCCACCCGCCTCAGCCTCCCAAAGTGCTGGGATTACAGGCTTGAGCCACCGCACCCAGCCTAAAGTGTTTTATAAGTCTTTTTACATCCTGTTTCTTTCTGCATCCCAAGATTGACTGGAATGCAATCAAAGTTCCAGTCACGACATATTTCATGCTACAACCCATGCACTTTTAAGCCACACTAGACTAAATTAGATCTGAAGAGAGTAAAAATCTGAAAATCAATGAAGACAAAAACAAAACACTTCTATAATGGCAAAATAGGTTAATTTTAAGGTTGAGGACACATGTAGAAATAATGCTCTCAAGATAAAGCTATGTCCAAAAGAAGTTTAATCTTGACAACTATTTACAGAAATGAGGCTGAGTTGACAACCAGTTTGGACAGGCCCAAGCGGAAGCAGACGATGTATACTTTATCCTTTTATGCTATTTACACAACTTCCATTTTACACATAATTGCCAGTTATCATCTCGATTTAATAGTTGGCAAAACTGGATATATATTTCATGATGCCCCAGTAAAGTGGAGATTGGGAGAAAGACTGAGGCTTTGCAATCATACAGATGTGGGCTTAAGTAATCCCATTCTGGAGCAGCGATAGGATTGGGAGAGTGAATTCTGCCAACTCCTCCAGCCCTGGTTCTTCTTGTTTTACATGTCTCAAATTAAATTCTTCCTTCTCATTGAAACCTCCAATATCACTCAACCTTAAAAAACTTCTAATCTCTCTTTATGATATCATTCTATTTTATTTTTATCTTTAACAGTTATTACTAGGTGTGATTTTTTTTTTAATTTTTAATTTTTTTTGTGTGTGTGGGAGGGTTGTCACTCTGTTGCTCAGATTGGAGGGCCATCTGGCTCGCTGCAACCTCTGCCTTCTGGGCTCAAGCGATTCTCCTGCTGTGGTCTCTGGAGTAGCTAGGATTACAGGTGCACACCACCACGCCTGGATACATTTTGTATTTTTAGTAGAGATGGGTTTTGCCATGTTGGCCAGGCTGGTCTCCAACTCCTGACCTCTAGTGATCTGCCCACCTTGGCCTCCCAAAATGCTGGGATTACAGGTGCGAGTCACTACACCTGGCCACTAGCTATTTTAATTTGTTTATTTTCTGTCTTTCCCCACTGAAATCTAAACATTGTGAAAGCAAGACCCTTCTCTGCCTTGTGTACCCCAACTCCCAATGCCTAGAATACTAGCTGGCACCCAGTAGGTTCTCGGCACATGTTTGTTACAGGAATCCTGAATGAGTAAGTGAATCATCTTTTGTTGCCTCATCTCTTACTTGGGTATGACATTGCCTACTTCAGAACTCTTCACAGCACATGCTAGGAAGTCCAATTTTAAATGATTTATCTAAGAAGTGCCCAGGTAATACATTCTTTCTTTTACCTACCGGCTCCCTGTGTTTATTTTTTGATTGCATTTAATGAGAGATTTAAAAATCTTCGTGAGTTGAACTTTTGGCATCTTCACTTTTCCTTAATGCTAAATACATAACGCCTGGTTCTGCTTTGATTCCTGACAACCCTCCACCTACCTCCTTCCCAGGAAATCACTGTTTGGATTCTGTGACTTATTTTATCCAATGTGTGTCTACTTGTCTTGGTGGTTTTGCTTCCAAGAGAGAGATACCTCTTACATTTGTGTGTGTGTGTGTGTGTGTGTGTGTGTGTGTGTGTGTGTGTTGTTTTTCTTTGTTTTTCCTTTTTTTTTTTTCCTAAGAGAAGATAATCAGGTTCTCATGTTACTACTAAGTGTTCTAGTAGATGGAAAAAGGTTGCCACATGAGGTCATTGCTGTGTGGATGAACTTGTAGACACTGACATATCAGAGAGCATCTAAAGGAAATATTATAGGGGCCATCAGGGCCGTTTCAAATTTCCTGATTGCATATATTAGAACAGGATAAGCTCCAATTACTGGAGTGCTTGCTTCAATATAATGGAGAATAGGAGCTGCATGTGGATTCCAATCTCTCTGCGCAGCCAAGTGTATCCAAAAATATAAAAATAAAGTTAGCTATCTATAGTTGGAAGATCAGGAGAGCTAACGAGCCAGGCCATATCATTTGGGGCAGGAAAAAAGGGTTACAAGAGTTCGGTTTAGCCTTGTGGCTCTTCACTAAATGCAGTGTGAGCTTGAAATGCATAGCTTCGTATTTCTTGTTCCTGTTGATAAGTCAGATAAGACATGGTAACTTAGCCTGAATGGTTTTAAACCTTTCTCTCTGTGACCATAAAGTGACCATTTACAAATTAAAATGCATTACTGACCCGAGATCCAGTTGCTTCTTGACCTGTCAATACAAGCAGGACTTCCACCTAAAACAACAGCAAACTCATGCAAAAAGTTTCCCACCGTCTGTATAAGAGGAACTGTACCCGAAGACAGCTGCTTAGAACAGCTGTCTACTTACACAGCCATCTTAGGGGAGAATGATTAATGAACTCACTTGGGCAGCAAGGGGCCCAGTTCACTGATCCATAGTTGCAGCACAGGTATTGATGTGAAACTAATGAGAAATTTGATGCTCAAATTCGAATGTTTATTCCAATTACCAACCAACAGATCCAAAATTTTTTTTTAAAGCTTAAAGCATTAACCTTTCGTTAAGAACAGGGCAGTGTTGAGCTGTGGTTTCACGCTGTGTGCTAGAACTTGCAGACTGAAGTGACCAGGGGTCTGCTTTGACAAATGGTACTCCTCCCACATACACAGCTTTCGTTAAATTTCACGTTAAGTGTTGAGCTAAGGAGGGAAGGAGAGAGGAAAGCACCTGACATGAGCCTGTCATACTAGTAGCCACTTAGCACTGAACATACAGATGCGATGAACACTCTCAACCCAAATGAATATAGCTCTGGTCCGAAAACATCTCATTATGGACTCCGGAACAAGAAACTGGGATTTTAGGTTTTGTCTATGGTTGAAGAAACCTAAATTATTATGCACAGCCTTGACTTTCACCTTTTAAGTGAGATTATTACCCTACTAGACTCTATCCCAGAGAAAGGCAAATATGGCAAAGACTGAAAACAAATACCTTAAAATAAGAAATTTGCTTGAAAAATGAAGTTACTGCAAGCAGAAGAAGAGAAGACTGAGCATGAGTTGCATGAAATATATTTGCAGATCTATAATATGCATATGTGAAACAGCAATTGCCAGTCTCTGCCAGGCATCCATGCAGATAGTGTCAATCAAATCAAGCACTCTTTTTCACCGGCCAGGACAGGACTGATGTTTCAGCCTTCACCATGGAGATGTGGACAGCACTACCAACCAAACAGCATCCACAGAAGGGGCGAAGTCTGCTTGCCACTCCAGAGAGGGAGGGATCAGGAGCTCTGCACTTACTCTTCTGTTTCCCTCCATCTCATTTCTGGTGGTCTCTGCATACACCCGTACGTTGCAGGGAGACAAACTCACAGCTCCCCTTCCCATCCTGCACACTGGAGCATTCCCCTCTGCCTGAGTTTTCTCCACCTGTTATCTTACATATGTACTTATTTGTTGGCTTCTTTTCTTCCTCTATGCTGTACCCAGAATGAGTTCCATGAGGGAGGTAACTGTGTTTGCTGTTATATCCCCAGCGACTAGATGGGCACCTAACTCATAGTGGATGCCCAATAGATGACTGAATTCACAAAGAATGATTTAGTCATAATATTAGAAGGGCTGTCTTGTGAGAAAATAATTGGATCTACTCTGTGTAGCCCGTTAGTATAGAAATTGCTCAGGTAGCTAAAGTTTTGGAAGGATAACTAGGCAGACTCTAAGGAAGAATTTCATATTAGATCTATCAGTCAAGGTCATGGGCTGCTTCCTGATATGGGAGTCTTTTTGATAGCAAAGGTCTCAGAGTACTTGAGCCCCTCTCTCAGGAGAACAATACAGGGGATTCATGAATCATACAGAAAGTAGACTTACCACCTCTGAGACCCTTTCCAAATGTTATGTAACGTAACTGTTCCTTCAGAGGTTGAATGTCATGGTTAAAGATGTATGTTGTTTCGTTAAAGCCTTCGAGTACTGCCCATAAGCTTAAAGAGAGTTGTCATAAGATTCAAGTCCCTGTCTCTTTCTGGGATAATGCTAAGAATATTCTTATTATCATTTGTGCTAGGACTTACTAATGGATGTGTGAGTTTAATTTAAATATACTATTCTTGCTACGGAATGATTGAGGTTATCGCAGTATGTAAGCTATAT